TGCAGATTTTAATCTGGTTCATGTTTTGTCCACAAGTCCTCACCATCATTTGTTGCCATTCCAGTGGGATTAAGTACTTTTTTCTGACTTTCCAGAAAACTGCTGTTTTTTTTTTCTTTGCCAGAAGGTAAATATGAGGCAATAAATTTAAGGTTCTGAAAAGTGTTTATGTGTAGAGGAGGAAAAGGAGGCAGGTTAGGGGTGTTTTTAAAGGTGAGTTTAGTGAGGTGAAGCTTGATCAGCCTTGACAGCCCTGGAAATGGATGTCTCCTATCTTACATCAGGAGTACACAAGAGTGTAAGTTTCATAATCTTCCTTGGTTTTTTTTGAGGGACCATCTATAGAGCTATGCTGTTTGTCCAGTTTCCATGCTTTTTTGGTCTTTGCCTGTCTGAGGCTGCCAACAAATGTGTTAATTGCTGTGGTTTTGGTAATATGGACACCTGTCATGGACAAAATGAACTGAGATCAGTAATTAATTTCAAGTGTCTTGAAGATGCAAATTCCTCCTTTTCCTCCTCCTTTTTTCTTTCATTAACTGTGCAACTTTATTTACTTCAGTAGGGTTTCCTGGACATAACCAAGATGGGTTCTTGTTGGTAGATGAAATGAAATTGTAGGTTCTGGCATTTGCCTTGAGACTAAAATACCCTTAGGCCAGATACAGTTTTAATTTCAGCTTTTAAAAGTACCCTCAAAAGATCATCAAGGAATAACGTAAGTCTAAGAAGTTTTTGCTTCCTTAACACTTATCCGCTTGTCTCCTTTCTATACAATTTTTTACCTAACTGATGCAGTGATTCTAATATGCAGATCTGTAAAAAGGATTCTTCCACTGCCATAAAGTGTCCTGCTTCCTTTGATGGAAATAAGAGATCCCTGATAAGTGAGTTGAAAACAAATGCTACTGAGTGATGATACCAGGAACCTGCTAAAAAACAGAGACAATTTAATGTGAGAGAGCATTTTGCAAGATTCCAGAAATGTAAGAATTGTTTTCCTCTGCAGATTGTTCTTGGGTTTTGCTCTGACTATTATGCTTGAATAAATATTTGCATTCAGATTTCAGACAGAACACAAATTTAGAAGAATTATTTCTGGATGCTCAAGATAATGCATTAATTAAAAAATCAAACTTGGAGAGTTAATTTGTTGCGTATTTTCTTGTGTTTCGGCCTGGAAACTGTGCTGTAAACTTTCTTAACTTTATACTAATACTTGGTTTAGTCAGGCTGAAAGTGCCATGAAAACAGAGGAAGACTGTGCACATTTTCTTGGTTCTCATTCCAGGCAAAACAAGGAGGCAGAAGTGAATACAGAAACGTGAACCTAACTTTGTTAAAAGTCCAAATTGACATGAAGTTTTGCATATTAGTTTAGAGTTTTTCTTATCTGGTTTTCAGCTTTGAAATATTTTGGTCTCTTTTCAACTATCCAGAATGTCGGTTTTAAAGACATGTTGGTATTGTTACCCAGTAAAAATTGTGATTTAAGTGTGTGCACTCTTTGGGTGCTTTAGAATTCCCCAGGTGCAGATTACACTCCTGTTTAAGTTAAAATACAAATATTTTCCGAAGCTATAAATTATGTAGTAGGTGTTTGGTGGCTCTGAGTTACTGGATGCAGTTTGGGTTGGAACAAAGCCTAGAAGCTGTATTTTGGCTGTGCTAGCATATTGAAATGGTGGAGGAAAATAAGGAAGGAAGGAACAAAGATCTCAACAAATCTGTCCAGGTGGTGATCTTTACTAATCTGCTTTCTTTAGAAGTATTTAAAAGTATCTTACCCTTGGTTGTGCACAAGTGCTTTGCAATATAGTGCTGTAGAGGGAAAGAACACTAAAATATAGGTAATTCATTTATTTTACATGGTGTATGTACAGCTCACCTCAGTCAGCGAGGTGTGCTGCTCTGGTACTACCCAGATCCACAGCAGAGCACTCCAGGTTAAGGATAGGGTGGGATTCCATCCTAGGGAAAGCTCAGGTTCTCAGGAACGAAGAGACCTACCAGGAGCCCATAGCTTGCACCCAGTTCCAGAACTATGAAATGATTGGCACAAGTAAGACCTTGTGGGATGAGTCCAGTGACTGCGGGGGGGAATGAGGGACAGTTTTTAAGATCTTCAGGGTGTAGGCAGGGCAGGCGAGGTGGGGTGGGGGCACTGTGTGTAAGGAAAGAGTTGGATTGTATGGTGCTTACAGCTGGTGATGATGTGGTTGAGAGCCTCTGGGTAGGGATGAAGGGGAAAGTAAATAAATCAGATGTCGTTGTGGGAGTTACTCTTGACCATCCAGCCAGAATGACACCACCAATTAATTATTATATATAACATAACATAATATAATATAATAGTATAGTATATAAATATTTGGTAAATAATTAAGTGATATCTCTGCGTCAGCTAGTCTTGTCCTTATGGGTGATTTTATCTTCCCAGATATCAACTGGGAATGTCATACAGAGAATACAATCAGGTCCAGGAAATTTCTGAAGCATGTTGAAGATAACTTCTTGGTGCAGGTAGCCAATTAGGAAAGGTGCCCTCCTAGATTTGTTGTTTGTAAACAAGAGAGGGACTTGTGGGTGAAGTGGTGATTGATGGTTGTCTTGGTCACAGTGACCATGAATTAGTTGAGTTTCAAAAGTTGGTGATAGAAGAAAAACTTCCAGTGAAACTTTGATGCTGGGTGTGGGTAGAGAAGATTAGGGGCTGCTGAAGGAGCTACTTGGTAAAGTCTCTTGGGAATCTGCTTTCGAAGGTCTTGGGGACTATTACGAATGCCGGTCACTCCTTAAGAGCCATCTCTTAAGAGCACAGGAGCAGGCAATTCAAAGTGTAGAAGTCAAGCAAGTGGAGCAGAAGAGCAGCTTGGCTGAGCAAGGATCTTCTAGAACTTAGGCAGAAAAGGTAAGTGTATGGACGAGGACAGGTGACACAGGAGGACTACAGAGATTCTGTCCACCATGGTAGAGAGAAAGTTAGTGCAGCCAAAGCTCGATTAGAGTTCAAGCTGGCCAGTGCTGTGAAGGAGAATGAAAAGGACTTTTAAAAATATGTTAATAGCAAAAGGGGAATCAGAAATAGCATTGGGCCATTGCTTGATGAGATCAGTCACCTCACAAATAGGCATGTAGACAGAGCAGAGACATTTAATGCCTTCTTCACCTCTGTCTTCGAAAACAATGATGGGCCCTGGGAAGCCCAGAGCTCTGTTGGAAGACCACAACTGGGAGGATGATAAAATCCCAGTCGACCCTGAACTTGTTTGAGTCTTGCTGCTCCAGCTGAATGCACAGGGGCCTGATGGGATTCATCCCAGGGTACTGAAAGATCTAGCAGATGTCATTGTGGGACATCATTTCTCAATGGTCTTGGGACTCTGGAGAAGTCCCACTAAACTGAAAGCTGGCAAATGTTGTCCCAGTTTTCAATAAGGGTAAGAAGGAAGACCCTGGTAATTGCAGACCTATCAACCTCACTTCAGTGCCTGGTAAAATTATGGAGAAGGTTGTTTTGAGGGTTGCCAAAAAACACACCAGTGACAAGACAGTCACTGGTTACAGCCAGCATGAGTTCATGAGGGGAAAGTCCTGCTTAACCAACTTAAATTCCCTTTATGACCAGGTCACTGACAGCTGACCACAGGAAGGCAGCAGATGTGGTGTTTTTGAATTTTAGTGAAGTTTTTGGTACTGTCTCTCACTAAATCCTTCTGGATAAACTGTCCAGCACACAGCTAGACAGGCTATACATTGGCTCAAAGGGTTATGACATCAGACTGGCAGTCAGTCACCAGTAGGGTTCCCTAAGGCTCAACTTTACAGCCAGTGCTTTTCAATGTTTTTATAAATGATCCAGACTCAGGAATCAGATATACATTGTTTGACAACAGTTCTAAACTAGGGAGAGCTGTGGACTCCCTTGAGGGTACAGTGGCCTTATAGAGAGATCTGGATAGACCAGAGAACTGGGAAATCACCAACTGTATGAAATTTTACAAGAGCAAAAGATTTATTCTTCATGTGGGACAAGGCCATGCTGGTTACACATGCAAACTGGGGGACAAGAGGCTGAAGAGCAGCCCTGCAGAAAGAGATCTGGGGTTTTTGGTTGATGGCAAGTTCAATACGAGTCACCAGTGTGCCCTGGAAGCCAAAAGGGTCACCTGTGTCCTGGGGTGCCCAGCACACCCAGTGATCAAGGGAGGTGATTGTCCCACCTGCAAAGGTGCAGCCCCACCTTGAGTCCTGTGCAGTTTTGGGTGCCTCAATATAAGAAGGACATCAAACTATTAGACCAGCGATGGGACAGGAAAGGGAGTGAAACTGCTCCAGAGGAAGTTCAGACTGGACATTAGGGAATGGTTCTTTACTGAGAAGTGGTCAGTCACTGGAATGGGTTCCCCAGGGAGCACCATGCCCGAGACAGTTCAAGGAGCATATGGATGACACTTTTAGTCGTATGGTTTAGTTTTAGGTAGTTCTGCAAGGAGCAGGGGGTCGGATTTGATCCTTATGGGTCTCTTCCATCTTGTCATGTTGTGTGATTCTATTTCAAGTATACAAACATTGAAATTACACTTTTTGGTTTTATGATCATAAATTCTTTTTCATGATCTAGAAATGTTTCATATACTTGCTAGTTTTAGGAATCATGTGCTTGTAGCCTCCCTCCACTCTTTATTTTTAAAAATTTTAAGTTTTTGAAAGAAACAAAAGAAGAAGAAAATCGTGATTTTCCCTATGATAGGTTGCTGGAATGAAACCATCCATTTATTCATGCAAATCACATTCAGGAACAGATTATATCTCAGCTTTATGTACTAGCTGGCATATGCACATAAAAAGCAAACAGATTAGGCACAATCCTTTTTATTGCATCATTCATCTCAACAAACTTACTTGTATTACTCATAGGAATAAATTAGATGTGCAAACTGTAATCTGACTTCTAATGAAAAAAACCCCCTGATATCTTCTCCTTTTACTTCTGATAGGAAATAGTACTGGTTGTGTTTTTCGGTGCTGAATATTTGGTCCGGTTGTGGTCTGCAGGCTGCAGGAGTAAATATGTTGGCTTCCAGGGAAGAATCCGGTTTGCCAGAAAGCCAATATCGATCATCGGTAAGATTTAAACTCTTTCCCCCCTCCTTCTTTGTTTTAAAGTAAAGATGTCAGCTACTGCAGAGAGCTTATTGCAGCTGAGCTGTGTCTGTTCCTCTAGCATTTATCTGCTTTGTGAACCTATGCAATTATTTCTCCTTTGGGATTGCTAGAACTGAACATTTAAAATATGGCTGTGAGACACAGGCAGACATCAGCCTTAGAAAGGCAGAATTGTAAAGTGAAGAAACGACCAAATCTATTTGTTTAATTGGAGAAAATTGATAAGATTTTGGACACAAAGTCCTTCTTTAGGTCTCCTGTAGAAAGCAAACACAAAGGTGAGTGTAAATTGAGAAAAATGTGGAAATGGGAAAAGTAGAACTCAGGAAAAATTTTATTGGGTAGTAGTAAAGTTAAACAATTTTAGATGGTTTGAGGGACTATTGTAAGTAGCATTTCTGGAGCAGGCGGGAGTTTAGGAGAGGTAACTAACAGAACCTGTGGAACAGTGAGGGATTAATAAAAAGTGATGGTGTTTGTACAAAATTATAATAGACCATAAAATCATGGAGTCCATTATACAGAGCTGCAAATTTTACTTTAGTCAAACATTTAAAACTCATTGAGTTTTAAATAGAGCGAAGTGACAGAGGTGTAAAAGGGGAGAGAATGAGCTGATTTTTCCTTAACCATCTGTGACACTATGGAACAATGGAAAAACTCAGGAAACAAAATATTCTATTCTATATCTAGATGTAAGTAGTGAATAATGTGATGAGCTGCTGTACTCAGTTTTGGGTTATTGAGGAACAAGAATCATCCTGACTCATCCTATAATTTTCAAATCAACATGAATAAAGTACAAACACTAGAAAAAGAAATTAAAGTTTAGAACAGAATGTAAAAATAAGGTATTCGTTTTACTTCTGCATTAATACAAAAGTCTGTATTTTAAAATCAGAAAAATTCCACTGAAATTTCTTTGACAGCAGGGAGATTTTTTCTATAGGTTTCTGTTCACACTAAAATTTGAATTCATTCTTAGAAAGTTCAATTTTGAATTTCTTTAATTTCTTCCATTATCTTTCCTCCTTTCCTCCCCTCTCTAATTGTAAATAAAAATTACTTTGGTGCTGATTACTTGAAAGAGTTTTAGTAGTCAAGCCTAATTATTACTTTCTTTTATAAACTTTTAAAATATTATTGAATTCTATGCGTCTTAAAATAGTATGTTAATGTGCAACTTCTATAACTGGGAAAGGAAAATGTTAAGATAGGACACATTATTTCTTGAATGGTATTTTAACATTTTAGGTGCAATGGAAAATGATGCAATTTCCCTACCTTGTAAATCTTTATTTTTTTCTTTTTTTAATTTCTTAGGTAGATTTTCTAAAGTTAGCCTAATTTTTCTCCTTTTTGCAGACAGATTGTAGATGATTACATGTATGTGAGAAAAGACAATTCTATCATTAAATAACCTGTCAGGAGACATATATTGAATTCATTCCCAGAATACCAAGAATCCTTAGAAAAATCCCTTTTTCTCTCCATGCTTCTTCATTCCCTAGTTCACAGAATGAGCATGTTTAGTGTGTGCTGCTCATGTCCCATGGCAGCAGCAGCAATAGTGATTCCTTTCTGAAATACTAATTTAACACTTCCATTACTTACTATTTCAGTAGGTTGGGCTGGGAGGTAAATGCTTCTGAGAATCCCAACCTAATTAGGGTTTTATGAAAAGCAGGTACCAAGCACAGGCAAAATCAAAAGAATGAATGCCCTTTCACAACCTTTTATCCTTTTGTTGTTGTTGCAGAAAATATCACAAAAGAGCCAATTTATGAATTAGCTTTTGTTTCTGCTGGTTTTGACAGGATGCAGTTTGAAAGATGTAAGGGGGACAAAAGTTACTGGTGTAAAAACTCAAGCCTGCATAGTGTGTCCATCTTATACTGTCCTTAAGTAAAGCACAGTAGAACTTTATTTATAAGCACCTTTAATTGGTTATGTATACAGCTCTGAAAAAGCAGCAGCACCTGGTATGTAAAGCTCCAGTTATCTTTATAATTCATGAAATGCTGATAGAACACAAAAATTCAGCAAAAAAAAGTGATGTAAAATCAAACTCAAATTTGTGCATATAGTCTGTGTATTTTAAGTCCTTGTGGACATCATATTATCTTCAGACTACTAAGAACACTCCTTTAAGCTGAGGACTGTTTACATTCTGTAATATAGCACAGCAATAAAATATGACATAAAATACAAATAGTCTTACTGTTTTAACTTTAAAAACGATTAATTGCTTCTAATGAAAAAGCTGAGAATTGCATATTAGAAAGTAAACTTCTGGAAACATTAGAAACACATCAGAAATTTGCTCACATAGAAAGCAATGCTCAGCTGAGCTACAGTGTAGGTGTTATGTGCTACGCTGCAGTTTATGTATAACTAAGTAATATTGGCAAACTGATCTTTTATATTAAAATGACAGCTGTTTGGAATTTCTCAAGGATTCAGAACATCAGTAAGCTGCAGTGGACTAGCAGTGGATGAGATTTTTAAAGTACTACACATGCTAAATTGCAGGGAATGTGACCTCTGTAGGTCTGTCGTCTGCATGTGCGGTGCATCTATTGTATAGAATATGCCATGTCCTTTTTTTCTCTCTCCACCTCCTGTGTATGTACAGACATGCTTGCAGACACATAAGTAGGTAGAAACTTCAAGAAGAATATCTGCATATTGCTGTTTATAAATTACAGGTATTCAGATTTTTTAAATTACCGAAATTCCTTGACACTTCAGTTTTTCAGAACTGCCATAAATACTAGTGTGATGCTATTCTGAATACTAGTGCTTGTTAGAGTTGAAAAAATTATTTAAACAAATGTTGGCTCTTTATCCTGATGTTTTCCATGTCAGTGTCTGCTTCAGCTTGAGTCTTGTGGAGACATTTCATGCAGGATGTTTAAGCTGTTCCTGAGAAAGGCAGTTCTGACCTTTTCTTATGGAGAAGCACTAACACTTCCAAACTTTGAAGCAGACACTTGAAATTTAATGACAAAATAGCTTTTTGTTTATCACTGAAAATCCAAACTGACTAACACGCCTCTGAAAATTTGGTAGCTTGTTTATGCTTCAAATGCCCTGCTAGAGAATGCTCTTATGTTTCTCAGAGACTGAAACTGCAGTGAGCCTGCACAATTCAAATTTCAGGTTTCTTGGAGCAGTAATGCTGGGGCTGGAAGTGGAAAATCTGTTGATTTTGGTTTTATAGTGTTCTTCCTGGATCTGCCCAGGGCACATGGAAAATACCAGGCTCGAATTCTGAGGTAGAAGGAATGAGCTGGGACATACAGACTCAGTAAAATGACAGGAGGGTGGATGAGGATGTAAAGGTTTGGGAGAAGAATGTTTAAGGAGACTGAAAAACCATCAGGAGGTTGAAGGAAAAACAGCAGGGGCTGAAAATACATGGGATTGAAAGGTGGCAGTGAAAGAGCAAGATATGCTGAAGACCTGGACTGTAAAATAGGACTATTTGGACCTGTAAACTAAGATTACTGAGAAGCCTAAAGATTGGAAACTAAAGTAAGAACTAGGAACAGAGAAGAAGAGGGGATAAAAGAACAGAAATATCTCTACCATGTAGAACACTTTCAGAAAAGTAGAAAGAACAAATAAAAAATCTATTTTACTCTCGCTACCTGATTGAAACTCATTTCCTGAGTGTCAATCTTTTCCTCCTTCAGTGCTGGTCATTGGATGGATATGGATATGTCTGATAATTTAGTAAGGACACGGGTGCATCATTTGCTTAAGAGCAAAGATCTGTATTATGATGTGATAGGAAGAAAACCCACCCTAAATGCTGGTATTTACAAACATATGTTCACACATATACATAATAAAGAATAGCATGAAAAATTTGGAAAGTTAGGCCTTTAAAAGTTAAGATTATCCCCAAATGGAAGCTCTTTCTGTAGCCTCATCCTTCCCTTTCTTTATTTTCATTTTCATAAATGTACAATTATTGTTGCACACTCTTTAAACTGACTGAGTGCTATCCCCTGGGGAGGAATCCATCTTTTACAGCAAAAGCCAGACTGATACTGGAAATTAATCCAAGTCAGAGAGTGAAGGATACTGTTGGTTGTAGAACTTCTGCAATATTTGTTGCAGCAACGACGCGGTTGTGAACGAGGCAGGAGAATTTTTAAAGGGGAGGAAAAAACAAGTTAACCTTTCTGAAGGAAACTGCTGCTGCCTCTCAAGTTGGATTCTGTCCTGCATCTTGCCCAGGCATCGCACGGAAACTCTGTGGCAGTCAGTTAAATCAGTTTGCACAAGTGTGCCTCATTTTCTGGATGTCCAAATGAAGACTTTGAAGTCGGGTTACAGAGGTTCTGAGCTCTCACAGCTGCAAGTGAGGTCAGCCGGCCCTGGTTTTTTTGAAGTGCTATATAATGTTGAGTGCTCTGAAGAATAAAGTACTGCCTGTTTAAAGCTGGCAAGGGAAATTTACCAAAACTTTTCCTCTTTCTGGCTACATTTGCTACCCATTTATCTTTTATTTTCTGGTTAGAATTTGAAACTGAAGCATTTAGATGCTCTAAAGAGGTTTACCACAGAAATGCCTGTGAGGAAATAAGAAAAATATCTTCTCAAAATAATGTTAGAGTAAGGTTCAATAATTAAAAGAAACAGACATGGTCACTGAACTAGGATAAGAGAAAATAAAGGATGCTGGCACTGCGAACACAATCCATCATTTGCATTGTATAGTGCTGGAACTGTGTAAACTGTGGAGTTGTGGAAACAAAAAATAAGGATCTCTGGAAACAATTATTTTTTCATACAAATAAAGACTGTGTCACAAAGTAAACCAACAACTCTGTTTGTTTTTTTTTTTTTTAGCAAACCTTTGTTCTGACAGTTCCCTAAACTTTGAAAGCTTGGCTTTATAGCTTTGATACAATTTTTAAACCAAGTGTATATGTGTATGTATGCATGATACTTGACTTTATGCATTTCATTATTGAGTGAAGCAAACCCTTACTTTTCCTCGTAAATCCAAAACCGTGAGCTAAAATGTGGATTCATTTCTAGGGTGTACATATGCCTTTGCGTTTGTTGTTTTTGTGGCAAGCTGCTGTTCTTTGAAATTGCCGTTATTAAATTCATGGAAGAACTGTAGTCATTGGGTTTTTGATGTGAAACTATTACATTAACTTATTGCCCACCAAATTTCAGGTAACAATTTCTTTTTTTTTAAAGTTCTTTCCTCAGTCTATATTTTTTATGTGTTTCACTGCTGAGATCTAAAAACTAATACATTCTTCCTTTTTTTTTTTTTTGACAGATCTCATTGTGGTAGTAGCCTCAATTATTGTTCTGAGCATAGGATCTAATGGACAGGTGTTTGCTACCTCTGCAATAAGGTATGTTCTTCTAGTGACTGTAGCTCTTCAGTACCATAGATGTTACCATCAGATGTATATCTAATTTCCTGATTTCTGAATTAGATGTATTTCTGATTTTCCTAATGTAGGAAAAGTTATTCTGTTGAAACACTGGACAGTGGAGGACTGTATGCTTTTGTGCTTGATCACTGTTGGGGAACAAGAGTACAGGAACAAGGCATATGAAAAATGGTGGGAATGCTGAAGCCAAATGGAAAAAACTAAATGTTCTGTCCTATATAAAACATCAAACAGCTCTCCTTCTGAGACAAGAGAGTATTACAGAACATCAGTTTATTTAAGAAGTAATCCAGACAGCACTTAACTCGGTACTTTTTGAGTATGAGTAATTACTTTGTTTAAAGAGTAATTATGCTTTGGTGGATTTGTTTGGCACAAGTAACTCATACTGTACATGAACCAGAAACATTTGATGTCTACAGTGTTTGTTCAGCTTGCATCAAGCACTGCAAGCTTGTTTTGGGAGGAAAAGTGGATAAATAGAAGAAAAGAATGATAAGCTTCTAACTTAACTTGCAAGACATGCTGCATGTTCTGTTACAAGACTCTGATTTCCAATGCAATCTGATCACTGGGAAGTGAGAATGTACAGTACTATCTAAACTCTCTAGCTGTGTAAACAAACACTGGAGGGAACTACAGGTATAAAGCATTTTTAAGGTGACTCTTACCATAGAACATTAATCCTTACATGATAATAAAGGCTGACATGAGCAACGTGAATGTGATTTATCACCTTGTATAGGAGAAGAGGAGGGTGAATATGAAAATTCCAAAGATTTTGTTGAATTCAACTAGAAGTGTAGGAAGGACTCTTATGGAAAGGCCTGCTCTGTGTTTATGTGTGACCCAGTTGGGTTTGGGCTCAGTGCAGCCTTTCCCAGTGCTCAATCACACAGTCACTGTACTACATCTCAGAATGCTCTGACAGAGAAGCTTAACCCACATCTCTGCAGTGTTGTTATTGCTCCACTGAAAAACCATCAGGGTCAGACAAGTCTTAGTTCCATCAGATTTCCTCAGAACTGTGACGTGAGTGTTGCTGAATTAGGAAGGAATGAATCTCACATACCTTGTCTTTGCTTTTGTTGCTTTTAAGGTGTACTGTTAAGGTCCTCTTTGTACCTCCCTCCAATCCCAGCAATCCCAGAAAACATGGGTGCGCGCATGTTAGGTTGTTTACTCATAGAATGAAGTTCCAGGCTCCAGATCCCCCAGGTGGGACAGGTTGACGTTTTGCTCACTGCAGCAACCAGCAAGACTGGAACCGAGCAGCAGAGCTTCCAGCAGAGTCCTCCAACCTCCTCACTGTTTCAAGGTCACCAAATTGATAAAAGAGGTCTTCATTCCAACAAATTCCTTTTTCCTTTTCAGTGGATATGTGTTGTGCATGTTTGGGGGCTATCTGGATTTTCTTGTTCACCGTCATGTTTTTTAAACCTTTGTTTGTAAAACTGCCAGCCTGTACCATGCATGTCAGGACTTGGCAGTAATATAGCTGTAACCAGCTTGGATTCAAAAGACAGGAAAAGCAAGGTCTGATTGTGGCATCCAGAGATGTGTCTAATAATTGTACAGGGGTGTTACATGTAGATCTCTCCCCTCCTGAGAGGAGCAACCAGTAAGCAATTGCATTGTGTAAGTCTATTGGTGCTCACATATTTGGTACCAAGCCTTGTAATTCTTGAACTCGTGTTTTAATTAGCAGGTTTTAAGTGAATCTTTAAAAGTTTCCTGCTAATGAAAATTGTTATTCCAATGGCATATCAAATAAATAACAAACCATGGCATTCATGTACCTGGTCACTGATATGTGATTGATAGTCAGGATTGTTGAGTGCTTTTGATGACAAGCTTTTGATCGTTTGACTGTCAGCTGTGAGAGCTCAGAACACCTGCTTTCTGAATAAAGGAAGAGTTGGTTATTGCAGAAGACAACCTGCCTTCCCAGAGTGAGTAACACCAGTGGCTGCAGGATGGCTGAGTTTTCAGCTTATAGGTGTAGCCCAGAAAAATGCAGCCACAGTGGACTTGAAATAAGAAGTCTGAGGTAAAAAGCAAAACCTACATCCACAACAAAATTTTAAGGGTAGATAAAAAGAGCCAAAAATACTTTTAATGAAAAGTTTTCACACAGATGAATTCAGCATGTATCCTTTCCTGCTCTTCACTGGTTTGTTTCAGGGATAGGTCACTAAGGTGGATGACTGTAGGCAAACAAAGTTCATTGTCAAAAGTATGACTAAATAAAATATTTCCATGGAATAAAACTACACTGAGGAACCAAATGGACAGTTATTTTTCATTAGTTGAAAATATGGACGTTATGATTCACTTATTGTCCTAAAAAGACATAGAACTGTATCTATTTCCAATTAGATCATTTCTATAACTCACACAAGAAGGACGTCAGTGATACCATGTTTGATTCATATTCTGCTTTTGGCAAATAGAGAAAAAAGTTTGCTCCTACTTGTGTTAGCAAACCTTGAATCACTGGTTTTCATTGGAAAGGAGGCATTTGACAATCAGAATCATATAAAATAGGCAACTTCCCCCTGAGCTTCTTTGTTTTTCTGTTAAATAATTCTTTTCCTATTTATATATATCTGACTATAATGAAATCTAAACACAGAGTCTACTGAGATGCCTCAAATCTGAGATGCAACCCTGGCCAGGGGCGTTGCTATCACAGTTCTCTAATATGGCAGCACATTAGTGAATGTAGCCAACTGTGGGTAGACAGAGCAGTATTTTTTATTTAATGCCCTGTTTTTCTTGCAGGGGCATCAGATTTCTCCAGATACTTCGCATGCTCCATGTGGATCGACAGGGAGGCACCTGGAGACTTTTGGGATCAGTTGTTTTCATACATCGTCAGGTACTTGACCTTTAAGGATCCCCAGCATTTTGTTTACTTTAGTAAATTCCTTTTGTGGACTTCAAATCATAGTCTGGTTTAAATGTACTTCTCTGTTGCAAGAATAAAAATACTTTAAAAGTCCATCATGTGTTTCTTTCTATTTTTAAAATGGGAAACTATTCTTAACTATTCAGGGCAGTGGATAACAGGGTTTAAGCATCAGTTTTGGGTTTTTTTTGGAAATGAACTGCTGTACTCTTTGATGTTATCCTTCAGTATAATTTATTAAATGCAGTTATATGGGCTGCCTTTCATATTGCAAATATTGTCCACTGTCTTCATGAAGACGTGTTCCTTGCTTGGTTGCTGCATGGAAAAAGAAATACTAGCGGAAAAGTAAATTATTTAAATAATTCTATTTTCTCTGCCTGAATAAGGAGTTTTCAAATGCATTCTATAAATAAAAATAATGAACTATGTTATGATAATATGCAAGAAAAGTTGCTTTCTTAAGGGTGCAGTCTCAGAGGTAAATTTGGCTATAAGTAGTTATGTGTCTGTTAAAGCTTTGAAACAATTTTTCTGTCTAAAAGTCCATTAAGCAGGAAGAGCTTAGAAGTTTTTCTGCATTCTTTAAAAAAATTCTAGTTGTAGGCTTCTTTTTGAGTCTTCACAGAATCTCTGTAGCCCACTCAGCTTTATCAGTATAACAGAAACTTACAGCATTAGCCTTTTAATTTTGCATATCATACCACACTGTGGAGGGCTAATACTCTGCTATTAATGTTCACATCAGACTTCTAAGGGTGGTTAACTTATGCTTTATGGGTGTAGATTTGTTCCCCAGACACTGACTAATAGTTACAGATTTCCACACAGACATTTTAAAATTTTCTATTTAGAAAACTTATTCTGAGACAGAGAATGGGAGGTGCTTAATCCAAGTGATTAATTTAATACTACAATTTAATTTTCTTCCCTTTATTCTTCCCCCCTCCCCCCCTCCAGTACTGTAGGAAATTTTTTGTCACGATGGCTGTGCAGCAGTGATGCACACCAAAGTGCTCCAGTATAAAGCCTCCTTTCATACTGTACAACAGGATGACTTTTAATGCTCCAAGTCTGTGTGGTCTCCATTTATTATGCTCACATTGCCTGGATATCTAGCTAGGGCAGAGCTGATATCCAAATACACTTTCTCAACATTTGCTTACAGAGGTGTTTGAGAAATTTTTTTCCTGTGGGTGTTCAGAGTTTTAGTCAAGAATCAGGAAATACTATCTCCAAAATACGACACTTAAATCTTAAATGTCACGAGCATAAATAAGTTCAATGATTTAAAAGGAAAAAAAAAAAACCTTGGAGAAGTGCATTTATGAGTAAACGCACCTGAAATTCTGCTACCCCAAAGAAGTGATTATGATGATAAATAAAACTCTACAGATCTGTAGTACTTGTCCAAGCAGATCACCCACTAACACATTAATAAAAAAAATATCAAACACACAGTTCTGTATTGACATTGGACAAGTGTAGCTGAAACTCTAACACGGTAACCTTTATTCCTATCCAGTCCCTGAAAGAAATTTTTGTTAAAAAAAAAAGAAAACAACAAAAAAACCAAAACAAAACAAAAACACCTCAGCTGCTTTTTCTTCTCTGGCAGAGTACAAAGTCCTCATCTATTTTTTGAGTTTGATACTCTTTGAGAAAAAATGGGGCCCATAACCATTAAACAATGTGAGAAAATAAATCCACATTTTTGTGACCTGTGAAAATAGCAAGCATTTGTACCTCTGTTGGCCCAGAGGAGCGCAGTGAAGTTGTCACCAATGATTTCCATGTGTTTTGGAATTTTACATATAGCTTTATTAGCTCACTCAGGCCCAGTTTGGCTCTTCTATTTTCAGCAGGTTGAGCTTATACAAGGATTTCTCGCCAAAAGCAACAAAACATGATTCAATATGGTATGTGGTGATGGAAAGACATGGAGAAATCAGTCAGCTTACTGAAAAACTGAGTTAGCCAATCTAGCTTCAGCTTTTAAGCCTCTCACTTATTTTTTCTCATCACTCACCTTGTTTTGTGAGATCTTCTACTGCTTTTAGGAGGGAGTTAGCAATGAGTTGAGATTTGGGATTTCCTTGTATTTTTCCCAAGTGTTGAACTTTGTATTGTGTGGTCCTTATCGTAACTGAAAATGTAGATCTATCTAAGTTTTCAAAAAGTCTCTCAATATTCAATTTTATTTTGTTATTTATTAAATGCAGTATGTATGAGATTGCTGTCATTGTTCTTATAATTAAATATAGGCATGTGTTAGTTTTTCTCCCTATACATATGTCACACGGAGTGATGACATTTAGAAAAAGTCTAAGGCAATTATACTTTCATCTGGCCTTTACTTAAAAAGATTTCAGTCTCTAGATGAATAGTACTGGAGCTGAGGGGCACCAGTGGTAAAATAAGCTGAGTAGTCCTGTTGATAATTCAGCCACTTTGAAAGGATCTCCTAAGTCTATGCATAGCACTTCTGAAAAGCATATTTTCCTCCTTGCTCCCCCAAAAGCCACTTAAAACAGAAATATTCTAATTATCATCCACTCTCTAATTCTGTCCTCTGGGACAACACTGAAAGAAAGCAGAGATGGACGCTCCTCAATAACAGGTAAAATCTATTAACCTCTGAGATGTCAGCAACGTGCCAGGTGTAACTAAGAGATTTTTGTTGATGTGGAAGGAAGTCACAAATCTACTAGACATAAAAGCAGAAGTGTTTTCTGTGTAAGCAGGCAACAGGAATTAGCCTCCATTTCTGCTGTGGTCTCCTGTGCATCACAGAACTTACAGTCTCAGGTGTTTTGCAGCTTCGTCTTGCACTGAAAAAACACTGTGAAGGCAAGTCAAAAAGTTGTGAAAAATTACAGAGATGCAAATAGTCAGTTACGTACATTAACACAAGGAGCTTTTCAAAGCAGTGAAGTGGTATCTGCAGGCACACAGTGTACCATTATCATTAGATAAAGATGAGAAAATAAAGGTGACCCGCACAGAAATCTGAACTACTGAAACTCCAAGTTTTATTTCCTCTTTCAGCTGCCTTGTTTAGCAAAAAGTTAAGGCTTGAATTAAAAGACTTGCCCATGGGCCAAACTAAATACTATCAAAATTCATTATTTAGGTCATTATTAAATGATTAGAGGAAAAACACCTATTTTTGCTTTGTGCCAAGATCACTTAAAGACTTGCTGAACCTAGATTTTAATTAATGCTTAGGAGAAGGAAAAATATGTATAGTTCCTGCTGCTGAATGCAGTTACTAGATACCAGGGATACCTTTCCCCAGAAAGCTCTTTTAAGGAAATGAAAAGAAAAAAATAAAAAAGAAAATCTGAAGGAAGTTTGATGATAAAACAACCTTCTGTCACAAACAGTTAAAGAAACATGGGTAGAATATTGCAGGAAATCTGTGAAAACCTGCCATACTTTAGAACTAGAGGCAATCCTTCTCAGACAGGTTTTAATTTTAACTTTATCTTATGGAAGTATTTTAATTTCCTTGTTGGTTTGGGTGCAAGGAAAGAGAAATGGAAAGAGAAACCTTAGGAAAGATGCCAGTGAAGATGTAGTGCAACGTTCAATAAAGAAGAGATGGCTAAATATGTTCAAAGAAAATATAGGAATAATGCACGTAAACTTTAGGGAATTAAAATAAGTTTTTTTCCCCTCATAACTAGGTATTGGATTTTCCTGAGGGGTATGTGAATATCTCATTTGAATACAACATAGCCCTGCTTTTTAAAATTAGCTTTACAGGTTTTTGCATCTGGGACACCACACATTTTGGCTTGTTTAAATGTGCAAACACACTTTTCCTGAAGTCTGTAACAATCCTGCACCGGAGTCACATCAGCTGTGATACAACCTTCCTGTCCAAAAATCTATAGAGAAAATTGTATATTCACAAGAACAGCATCATGCCCTAACAAAAGTCTCTTCTAATAAACTGCCCCGGCCTTGCTTTTCAGCACTGAAGTAGAGGTTACACCTGCCCAATATATTTTATCTTCAGTTGTTTTATCTTAACATGAAAGTGTTTAATCTTAAGCAATCTAAACATCAGATACACAAGTTCATTGCTTAGATATGCCCATAATCACATGACATGGTTGTTATTTCTTCACTGTTATTTCCGTGTACTGTTCAGAAACTGCATTTCTGAAGCTGTTTTGATATTTTAAAAATGTTTAGAGATTTAGTATTTTAAGTGGACAGTTAAGTGGAATGATTTCCATTCACAAGGCCTAATTAGGAGAGATGTCCCACTCTACATTTAGCTGCCCAAATGATCTCATATTAATGATAGCTTTTTGAACTCTTTAACCTGGTATGAATAGGAAACAAGTTACTGTGCTACCTGTTTCACTAGAGGCAAATTTTATACCTGAAATATAACAGATTAATTTTTCTGCTGTGATCCAAAAGACCCCCAGATAATTTAGAATGTTTTACAATATTTTACAATGATAGAATATGCATGATGCAAACCTGATGCGCTTGTTTGCTTTCTCTTTTAATAGGAACTCATAACCACGTTGTACATTGGATTCTTGGGGTTAATTTTTTCATCCTATTTTGTTTATCTTGCTGAGAAGGATGCAGTTGATGAAGATGGAAAGACAGGTTTCTCCAGCTATGCTGATGCCCTTTGGTGGGGTGTGGTAAGTCCTTACCAGTGAAATCTGTATGCAAACAGTGCATAAGTCTTCCTGTTGAAGTTGTGACATTTTTTAAAAAAACCTGGTCTTTCTTTCTTTGCAGAATGTATTTCTGTAGGGAGGCTCAGCAGTCTTTTAAGAAGGTACAAGAAAGAATGTCACACATACAATTAAATTATTTGGGTATTAAATTTTGTTGTGGAAGCAGGTCAGCAAGTCATGAATGTTTACAGATATAAAACGTCCACATCTCATAAGAGTGTAAATTCCCTCCAAAACCTATACCACTTCTTTTAAACTCTACTTAGTTATCTGCAAAAGGTGCATAACTTTAAAACTATATTCTGTATGTGGAAGTGGGGTAATGACTTTATTTTTTTTTTTGAGTAGTAATGCAGACTTTTATGCAGGTAAGAGGTTCCTGTTGGCTTTTTTTTAAAACGAATCTGCGATTCTCTGTAAAGGTAAATAGATCCATCAAAAGCAGCTGGCAAAGCTTCATGGATTCATCAAATCCTTTGGATATCAGTCATCAGTCAGGTGCATTTTGTGAAAATCTTTGGTGAAATAAAGGAAGAAAATACCCTTAAAGCAGAACTGGGCTTTTGAGAGCATTGTGGTAATTATCATGTGCATGCCCAGAATCAGTTGAAAAAGGAATAGAGAGCTGTGAAACAGAATAAGAGGCCAGATTTTTTCTAGACTCCCTTCATATGGCTGTTCTCATCATATTTCTCATTGTGACTTAAGCTTTCCTTCTTTACTAGCTTTTGCATAAACTATCCCTTCTCTTGTGGGCCCTTTTCCCCACTAGAGAACCTCACAAAAATTCTGAGTTGGCTGTCTCATTGTAACAAACCCAAAGAGATCCATCACATCAGTGTTAGTGACAGAGAAAAATAAGAGGACCAGAACAGATGCAGAGCCCCCAAATTCCAGAGAAAGAAGGATATATTTCAAGACTATATACTGGATTTGTTCTTAGATAATAGACTTGGAAAAATGCCAGTTATTGGGCCATAAACCAATTTTTTCTCCACATCCAAATAAACTGGTAAGTCTGTCAAGGCAGACAAAATGTTCCTAATAGATATATGTTTCTAATCTTTAACTTAGATGCTGGATAAGCCTCTACTTCAATGAAGTATACAGAAATGTAGACTATATTACATGTAGCCTGAGTTACCACTTTTTAAGTGGTTCTGTATAAAAATATTTTAAACATTAAATTCCTGTCACTGGGTTGTCAAATATTCATTTCATTTGCAGAGTATCACCTTTGGCTGTGCAAAAAAATAGTACAAACTAAGAAGAATCTAGTAAAAAAGAAAAATCCACTAAATGGCCAGATGGACCTGATTATCTAAGGTGCTGGGAAGAAATGAAACCACGAATTAGCCCATGCAATGATCACTTGTAAAAGTCCTCAATGGAAATATGATAAAATTTTCAGAATATAAAATCTCATGGTTATAGATATGAGACCACCTCTGGCTAGTGCAGGAAAATAATAAATGTATCAGAAGCACAGATTGTGCTGTAATTGAGGAGAAAAACAATTAGGGTATAATTGAAAGATACCCCATGTCTGCTTTAAGGAAACAAACCAGTACACAGGTTCACTTAATCTTCTATTATTTGAGCAGTTCAGCTCCAACACCAGCGTTCCAATGACTGAATGCATTGGAACACAGCTCCTGTTCTGGCTTTATGAATGGTCTGTGAAGTACATCTGATTAAAAGTGGGGCTTCTTGGGGGAAGTTCAGCAGCATCAGGGACTCCCATAAAAGTTTGTGCTAGTTCAGATAAACCCATGAAAAATAGCTCATAAATTTTTCTACCAAAGTGAAGTTCCAAGTAAGTTTGTAGTATCTTTGAATCAGAATGACACCATTGAAAGAAAGGGAAAGCATATAGTTTATTAATAAGGAGGTCTAAATTTAATATGTAAACATTAAAGGATAGTGACTCGTTGGCTCTGCACAGTGTCTTTGGTGTTTCATAAAGTAATTCCTAGGCCTGTAAGTGCAAAAGGCCAGAAATGCCCAAAATCAGACCTGATCGGGGGGAGAAGTTGGACGAAGAACTTACCAAACTGAGAGAAACAAGGTACAGTGGAAAACAAAAGAGGATTTCCAGCAATGAGTTGGGAACTAGCCCTCACTTTTAGCATCCAGTTCTGTCCACGTATATTCATACATAGGTTATTCCAGTGAACTTTTTTCTACCTTTCTACCTTCCTTTCCTTTTTTTTTTTTTCTTTTTAAGCTCTAGTTATCCAGAGCTTGGTTTATGAGTTGCATTGAATACTTAGCTGTGGATTACAAAATACTTTTAAATGCTAGAAACTAAAGCACTGATTTGATTAAAGAGTAAAAAAAAAAAAAAAACATTAAAAAAGCCAGGATGTGTTTATACAACAGGAATATTCCTGGACTTCAGGAATATAAAAGGAATTCAGTTATGAAGACCAACAGATAAGTTTAAAATGCACTTTATTACCTTGCTGAGATAGATGACTTGGAATCTGTGTTTCAAAGTGTATGTAAAGGCCGTGCAAAGTGTTCAATGGGTTTTGATGTTGTTTTCCAAAACTTCACTTGTTTTGTGTTAACAGCAAGATAAAATCAGCTTCTCTTTCTCTAGCTGTGTGAGGCACATGAAGAACACTGTTTAATTTGTTGTTTAAGCTTTTCAGGCATCTAGGCCTCCTCAGCATTCAGTGAGTCACGGTGCAGGTGCAGTTCACAGCTGGGAACAGTGACAAAGGACAAAGTGAATCAGTTTCTTTTTCTTTTCAAATCTTCTGTAACATAGAAACACAGATGTGGAGTTACTAGGGAGTGAAATTTGATTTCACTTTTGCCTTTCAAAACTAAACCAGAGGAAAAAAAAAATCTCAGTAGCAAGTATTTGAAAGTGTCTGACAAAAACCACAGAGTGTATTATGGGGAATATTTTGCTTTGAGTAGAAAGTGCAAGCTTGCTGAACTTGATACAAATGACCTGAAAGGTTTAAATGTGAAGAAAAGAAAAAATAAAGAATGAAGGAGAGTTGGAATTAGATGCTAACTACATTCACCTGCTTCAGTTAAATGCAAAGTCGTTTCACCCAGATTTGGTAGGCAAACAGGTTAAACTGCAATAAAATATCAAAGACTTGTATTCTACATGAAGCTACTTTCAGAAGTTTTAGCATGTACAACACATGCAACAGCATTTCTAACAGCATGGTCGGGCTGCCAGAATTGCAATCCATGTCACAGCAGTTTTCCTGTCCTTTCTGGGTACTTTTTCTTGAGGAAAGAAGAAGGGCACGTAGGAGGCTTCTCTTCTGTTGGCCCTTCCACACTTGTCTCTTGCTGCTGGTAACACTTACTGGTCTTGCTGCAAACTCAACTGTTCTGTACCATTGAATTTGCATTAAATAGTTTCTCCAGTAAATTGGTGTTAACTGGCAGAGGTACTTAGGATCAGTTGCTCAGAATTTCCAGTAGTAAATTTTCGTGCCAGAGGTAGCAGTTTGAACCCCTTTATATTTAGTATGTTTTTTGAGGTGTGCAGTTCTGACTCTTCACACTTCAGGACACCTGCCTGTCTTAAAGCATCTGGGCAACTCTGTTGACTTCTACTGAATTTAAGTTTTTCCCTTTTTGAAGTGTACAGATATGTTTTCAGAGCCTGTGTTAGAGCATGTGCACACCAGCCAGAATGTGCCACCATAAATCTGTGTTACGAAGGAGGTGTCATTTTCCAAAAACCACATTCAATATTCTCTTCTCAGAGATACTAATAACATTTGGATGTGCAAGTAGAAAAAAAATAATCTGTTGTGATTAAGAAATCCAGAAAATTACATTATTTATAATCCTTTCCATATTCTATGTACTAATTAGATTACCAAGAAGGCATCCTCTTAAGGTAGCCAGGGAAAAACTTTCTGAGACATGTTCAGGCACCTGCAGGAATCTGCCAGCCAAATGCTTGCTGTAGAGATGGAAAATTCATCTTTTCTGTGGTTACAGCTTTCATGCTGTCTTCCATAGTAACACTAAGGCAGCTCAACATTACTGCAGTTTGTTTTTGAGCCCTGAGTGCTGGAGAAGTCAGGAAAAAAAAAAAAAAAGAAAAAAAGCCCAAACCAAACAAACCACCCACAAAAAAACCAAGAAGCCTTTCATAAGAAAAAAAAAGAGAGGAAAAGGAAGGAAAAATCACAGACTTTAAGGGGTCATCTGGGTGCACTGAGGAGCTGAAGTGCTGTTAAAGAAACACTGCTTTAACTTCCTCCACTGCCCACTAACACATACTGCATTTCAAAGTTGAATTTTGGGGGGTCTGGTTTAATTTTGGGGACTGGCAAACTCATCTGTTTGTACTGCTGGTAGTACACAGCACCTGAGTCACTTCACAAGCCACATTAAATCTGGACAAACACCTGGAAAGACAGAGTTCCTGCTGAGAGCAGTTTACAGTTCAAAATAACAATATTCATTCGAAGATATAGATTCTACAAAGTGAACTTCATCAAGTGAGAAATTTATGATGAATAAACACAAGCCTAACTTTTTTTGAACTTGGAAAAATTAAGTTTGATAGTAGTTGGTCATTTTTTCCCTCCAAATATTTCTTCCAGCTCTCCATAGAACTGCTCTGAGAGGAGGAGGAAATATATTCTTCTCATGCCTTTATTGTTTGATAGCTTCTTCTGAGAAGCCTATTTTTGCATAATATCTAAGCATTTGTCAGCAAATTTTTCCATAAAAGGCAGCCTCTTTTGTAGTCAGTGTAAATTTACATATTCTTTTAAGTCTGTGTTGGCTGTATTTCTGCTACCATTCAAGGCAAAGTGAAGGGAGGGGGACTAGGTTTAGGGCTAGGGCTCCCAAATAGAAGTGCATTTTTTCTATTTAAAGTTCTCCCCAGTGGTTAGTATTGGTGACAGAATTCTTCATTTCCTCACCAGAAGCCTTTCACTTCTCAGGGAGTACAAGCCACATTTCTCACACCATTTTATGGCAGCATCAGAGCTCTGAGTATGCTAAAAAGCCTTAATGGCTCTGGCCAGGCACACCAGGGGTCACCCCAACACCCTCATGACTTATTAAGGCTCAGCCCTGGGTTTTTTTTTTTGCTGCCTGAGCTGTGCTGGAGGAGAGCTGGTTCCCAGCTCAGCCACGGTCTGGTGAGCTGGATCTCAACCCACAGTCTGGCTTCCATACTCAGCCTCAGACATCCCTCACTACCTGGATATTGCTGTATGACTGGGATTCTTTGTTGGGCACAGTCAGTGTCTGAGTCTATCCTACCCTGAGCCTGTGCCCAGGATGGTGAGGCCCCTGCCTGGCCAGACGTAGGATTCCCTTGGCTTGCCTGGGGATCCTCTTTGGGATCCGCTGATTATCACCTTCCTCTGGGGAGCAGCTGGCCCTTGGTGGGCCCTTCTGATGGACCAGCCTTTACCTGAACTCTGATCCCTGCCCAGCACCAATTCTTTACTGTCCACTGGCCTCATAATGAATTCTCTTCCTTCCTGCTGGGGTTCATCAGGAACAGCCCAAAACCTCCATCATGCTCAGGTCCTCCTGCCTGCGTGATTTTCCAGGGCTGGCCTGCCACCCCCACAGTGATTTAGTCCCTCTTCAACAAGTCCCTACAGATCCCAGAGCTGTGTAAGCACATGCCTTGCTTAGAGTGGAGGTGGGGAGGGGTGTTGTTAAGGCCCCGAGGGCACTAATTGGCCTAATGACCCTGGCCAGCATCACCAGTGGCCTCCAGCCACATCCAGGGGCTCTATTTAAACTCAGAATCTTCCTACAGGAGAGATGGTCTTTAGCTTTACTGCATCTGGGTCTGGCTGTGGAGTCCTTTAATCCTGACTTTCACCTAAGGACTAATATTTTGCCAATGCCTCATCCCTGTGGACCTACATGCTGACCACTGTACCTGATCCTAATCCTGAACTGTGGATGGAATTCCTGGCTTAATGTCAGACCTGTCTTGTTGCTAAGATACTGCTTTATACTCCAGACTCTTGATTGGATCTGGCTGCACTTTCTGCTTCTGTTTTGCTTGGCTGCTGTGGGACCAGGTCCTTAGTGGAGAAGTCAGGATAGATAACGTAGCCTGCTGGATACATTATCTTCCTTGACTTTGGGTTCCTTTGTCTCTTAGGGAGTACCTGGCCTCTGGTAAGCAATGAGCAGATCCAGGTATAAGCATCTTGTGGCTTAAACACAATTTTGAGTGGCAAAATACTCTATTTGTTGGGGGAGGAATAAAAGGTAAGCACAGGGCTCAGCTGCATTCAGCTCTTGGTCTACTGGCAGGTTGATTTTGGGAGTTAACACGTCCTGGAATGGTTGTGTGTTCCTCTTCTTGCCATGAAAATTCAGCTGGGATGGTGTAAATTCTGTCGCTTTTCATCCCTGTCAGCACAGGGCTTACCCTGCCTCTCCCAGTGTCTGCCTGACTGCAGAGATGGGCAAATACCCATGTTGGTTGTGGGCAAGTCGGTGCTTTCAGGGCTTTCTTCTGTCCGCTGTGGAACTACATTTTAAAAGCAAAGGCAGAAAAACTGCAAGCCTATGGTTTCAAGCCCACAGGGCCAATTCTTGCAGTTTTGGAATGGTGGAAGCAGCCAGCTACAAGCTGTGAGAACAGTCATCCTACACCCAGACTACTGTTGTCTCCAAAACAGTGGTCAGCTGTGAATGTCTGCTGAAGAATGTAAAACCAGGATGAATCAACAGTGATGTTTAGGGTACTCCCATATCCAAACACTGCTCGTTCATGCCTGTCTCCTGATATTTCTCTAATTTATTTCTCCTTTTGTTCTTTTTTCCCTGCTTTTTGGAGAGAAAAGGTACTCTGTTGCACTGAAACAGGTGTTTGTTTCTGGCCTAGGTAACTGTGACAACAATTGGTTATGGAGACAAAGTTCCCCAGACGTGGATTGGGAAGACAATAGCTTCCTGTTTTTCAGTATTTGCTATCTCTTTCTTTGCTCTGCCAGCGGTAAGTAGAGTTTGAATCTGTCTGACTTGGGTGCACAATTAGGTAATTTTAAATTGGTGCCTTTGGTAGGAAATAACAGGGTTGGATGTTGCTTCAGAATGTGCACACACACATCCCCAGGTGTGTGTTTGTGTGTATGGAAACACGAAGGAAGGACATCAAACTGTTGGGGTCATCCAGAGGAGAGCCACTAAGATGCTCCAAGGGATGAAGCCCCTCTCCTATGAGGAAAGGCTGAGAGAATTGAGATTGTTCAGCCTGGAGAAGAGAAGGCTTTGGGGTGACCTAATTGCGGCCTTCAGTACCTGAAGGGAGCCCACAAGAAAGATGGAGAGAGACTATTTCCAAGGGCCTGGAGTGACAGGACAAGGGGGAATGGCTTCAAACTGTCAGAGAGTAAGTTTAGATTGGAATTAGGAAAAAATTCTTCCCTGTGAGGGTGGTGAGGCCCTGGCACAGGTTGCCCAGAGAAGCTTTGGCTGGAAGTGTTCAAGGTCAGGTTGGATGGGGCTCTGAGCAACCTGGTCTAGTGGAAGGTGTCCCTCTCCAGGGATTGGAACTGGATGACCTTTAAGGTCCCTTCAACCCAAGTGATTCTCTGATTCTGTGAATGAAGCTGCTGTATCTTTACAGCAGTTGTTTTAGATAAAGGTGGCCTAGAAAGGAGGTAAGAATAACTTCCACTACTTGAAGAATTGAAGCTATTCTGGTCTATGAGTTGTAGAGGGGTTTTTTATCAGCATGTTTGTGCCAGAGGTGACCACTTCTTTCTTTCTGTTTTTTGGTTATATGATATCAATTTGGTGTCCTGTGAAGACAGGAACAAAAAGAACACTTCTATGGCATCTGCCATCCTATGTGGTGCTATAGAGATCTTTGGGCTTTTTGGATCTTTGAATAAACAGGGTGAGAATAAAGACAACAGCATCGAGGCAATTAGACAAGATAAAGTATTTCTCCAGTAACTATCCATTTTAACAGAAATGTTGAAATTATTAAGCATGTCTTTGCCTTGTTTGCTCAGTTTGACTGGAAAATCAAACTAGGTTCTGGCTTTAGTTGTGGGAGTGTTTTTTTGTTGGGTTTTGTTTCATTTTTTTTTTTTTTTACTGTGGGGGAGCAGGTGGGTTTGGGGTTTTTTTAGGGAGGGTTGGGGACAAGTTTTTTGGGGGATTGGGAAAGGTTTGGGATTTGTTTTTTTTGTGGCAAGGAATTAAAAATAAGTGCAAAGAATAGCTGAGAATCAGTCATGTGACATTGTCATTTGCTTCTCCTGCCATTGTGTAGGGTTGCCTTTGGAATGTGTCTGCCTCTGTGAATGTCTCTGATTCCTGTAGCCTGATGTTCACACCAACAAACACATGCTGTTTATTGAAGTTACACGATGCCAGTATTGATCTGCTCAATTTCAGATTTATTTGTTGGAATAAATAAATTCTGCTACTGGGACATCTGAAAAATCATGATTTTTCTTTTTCTCAGAAAGTCTTTTATAAAATGTCTGTTTCTTTCATATGCTAAGTATTTGATTTAGGTATGTGAAGCCATATTGAAGTCTGACTAGGAATTTTGGATATATTTAGGGTATTTTGGGGTCCGGTTTTGCCCTGAAAGTACAGCAAAAGCAACGTCAGAAGCATTTCAACAGACAAATCCCAGCTGCAGCTTCCCTAATTCAGGTAAGGCCCCTAACAGTAAAAATACATAGGAGCTTATTGGAGAAGGAGTGTGGCCTAGTAGTTCAAATACTGAGAATCATGGTTCCTAGATTTTACTATAAATCTATAACTTGTTTTTAACCACTTAGTCATTTTGATCCACTTTAGTCACTAGAGAAAATTAGATAATTGCCTGTCCTCCATCTCTAGGTGTGCTAACCTGATATTCACAGGCATAAGGACCCTAACTGGACACAATGAGTATATGTGGTGAAATAGTAAAAAAAAAATAAAAATAAAAATAAAAATAAAAAATCTTCATTATAATATTTAATTCATAACTTCCTTTTTATATTCTCTTAGGTCCTGTGTATCTGCGAAATCCCGAGGTGGTGAATGAGTGTACAAACACATGTAAACACACACCTCTGTTTAGACAAATGCCCCAGGATAAGTCTATATGATAATATAACAAATACAGTAACATGGTGCACAAATATTGAATGTGGCACAGTGAAGGAAAAAGGAAGCAGCAGTATCCAGTGATGCTTGTGGGGATTCACTTCTATGAGGGTTGTTTTGTCTTGATCCCCCCCACCCCACATGCTGTGGGCAGGGAGAGATCCCAGCTCCTAGGGAGAGTGCACCAAGGAGTGTCCTGAAGATCACTGTGTAATGCGTGGAGCTGTCCTGGTGCAAACTACATTCACCACGGTTATGTAGAGGGAGGAGTGTATTTTATTAGTTATGGTGTTGTGGTATAGCACCATGACTGCAGTCAGACCCCTTTGCAGCTTGTTTACCTCGACTGAAAGTTTTGTTGTCAGTTCGATTTGCAGCAAAATCTGACTTACCTGCCCCAACAGTGGCTGCTTATTCACTGCGATTGTTGGGTTTGGGTTTCATTGCAGACTCTGTGGCGGTGCTACGCAGCAGAGAAATCCTGCAGTTCCACAGCGACGTGGAAGATCTATGTTACACCCCCAGCGCAAAATCCCAAAAAGTCAGCAGCGCCATCTAGCCCTAGTCTGAGAAAACAGGTAACGGAGGATGGGCAGAGCTCGGTTCTGTGCTTGCTTTTAAATCTCAGTGGAATAACTTGCCAAAAGCCTCGTGAAGTGAGTGAAGAATCTGGACAGCTGAAACACGCTTGATTGTTTTCCTCATGGCACAGCGCGATTGGCTGCGTTTTGCTTAAAGATATTTCTGAGGGAACTTTAAATTGCCTTGGTGGTCAGACAGGTGCCAATTCTCCATTGTTTTATCCCCTTTGAAGCCTCCTACATTCTCAAAGGGTACTGTAAAGCAATGATGTGTTCGTTTTGCATAGTAGTTCATACAAGAAGAAAGGAGAAAGATAGTTTAAAAACTTATGTTCACATTCAACCTGTGGCTGACAAGTAGCTGTGCTTTCCTGAAGTACTCCGTGGTACTTTTATTTGAGGCTGAGTGTAGAAATTAGGGCAGATTCCTGAGTTTTGGGTGCAGTAAAGTGGAACAGTGTTTGCCTACACAGGTGGGGTTGCCCAAACACAGTCCTGTAGTTGCACTGCCAAGCTTGCCCAGCCTTCAGCACCTCGGCCAGAAAGGCAGAGGTCTGCAGCAGTTCGAGCTCAGAGGCTCAGGGTTTCTCAAATGATGTTGGAGGCCTGGTTTTAGGCAGTGAAATGCCCCTGATGCCTGTTGCCCCGGGGAGAAGGGCAGTACAATTTCACACGGAGAAGGCTGTAAGGGCATGATGTGTGTGCACGTACGTGTTGTGTCACAGCAGTGTGACCTGCTTGGTATTGAGCAGAGTGTGACTTTGCCATGACTTTGCTTTGTCATAACTGGAGACAGAAAAAACAGGAGGAAAGGGGTAAAGCTGAAGTAAGGCTCCTTTGTAAGTGGTGCTGAACAGCAAACAGTCAATGGTTTGAGAGCTGAAAAAAATAGATGGTATTTTCCCTCTGTTTTTTTTCTCTGTTTAGAGGAATTTCCCGAACATATTAAACCTGAACCTTCCTGTGAACTGCTAACCCTAATTTAAGAACTAAGCCATGGTTCTTTCATCTCTTACCAAAGGCTCATCTTCTCTTATGTTGATCTAAACCTTAATTTTTTTGTTTTTAAGTGCCAATTTTAGGACGTTTATTAGGCTTCTAAAATCAGGAGAACTGTGTGGAGGCAGGAGGAGGAATTTATCTTCTCCTGATGTGCATAAGTTGGCCTTTTTGGTAAAAGGTGAATTTTTCTTCAGTTGAAAAAGTTGCACAGGGCCTAGTTCACAGTTCAAAGTCTATGGGTATGTTTAATTAAAGCTTTAGAAAGATGATACAGCCAAGCTGATGTGTACTCAAGTGATTAGTATTTTGTATGCCTTGAGTTTTGGTACTTGAGACCTGATTTTTCAAAATGTGCTGGGCGTCTTCTCCTGAGAATCAATTCTTACCAGATTTTAGTTGATAATTCGGAATCAGATATTTTGAAAACAAAGGTTCTAACCCTTTCACTTAATTTCAATTTCATTATTTAAATAAAAAACATATGACCTCAAGTAAATTTACTGTATCCTGAGGGTCATGTGTGTACCTGTCTGTGTTTGATAATATCTTCTGATATAATTCCATTTCTACCACCACAGGCTAGAAGATACAAAAGAAAAGGGAAGCTAGGATGTGGTAATGGTTCTGCACCTGCAATAAACCCAGGAGAAAATGCCTTGTCTGTTCCACAGATCACTTATGATCACGTTGATGAACAAGAGCACAAAAAAGATGTATCTTTCTACATTGATGAACCTAGAGGTAATTTACATTGACTTTAGCTTTTTTTTTTTTTTTTTTAAGAGATGATGTTAGAAAGAACTGACATGCTGAAGGGAAAATTTCTCACCTAATCAGTAAAGCAAGATGCCTCCAACCAATGATTGCATACCAAAAGTAGGAAGACACAAATTTAGATACATATGGTGTGAATATCAAGATCTTTCTTTGTTTACCAAATTTAAATCAATTAAAATGTCAGCTATATTGTTAATTCTCCTTTTTTGAATTATTTCAGAAGTGTGTGGAAAGCTTCCTCAAATCTGCCCCACCTTTAAACTTTATCTCGCAGAGAATCTGAAGGAAGGAAAAATAAACCAGGAAAAATATTTTTACTTTTTTTACAGCACCCTCTTAAACACTGTGCAAACAAATTGTGATAGGAACAGCTAAGCATTTTTATGCCTACATCAACCAACAGGTTTTTATAAATGGGATTTTTTTTTGCTTCATTTAAAATATTGTATGTTTCTATAAATGACAGGTGTATTTCAACCTGAAAACTGATTGAATTTCAGTGCTAAGTTAAGATAGTTGCTTTGTTTGTAAAATTCTTATTTTAATTACGTTTGTAATGGAAATGTGCATATGAAATGGTATTGTTTACTATAAAAGAAGATTTTCTGGAAAGCTAGTTTTTCCACTTCTGTGTTGATGTCCTTTGTCTGATGGGGTTGGGGATCTGTTCTGGATCTGCTAAGAGGGAGAATGTTTCCTTGTAGTCTGAGTTATGTTCCATACCTAGAGGCATACAAAGCCTTGCCAAGTTTACTGAGTTATCCAGAGATGCTGGCCCTAGTCTGGGGTATGTTATGTCATGATTTGAGTTAGGTTTTCATCTGTCTTTGATAAACCTGAACATCAACTCTGTATGAAATTGCTGCTCTTACATCACATTGAAGCTGACACAAAACTTCAGCCTGGACAGAGTATGGTTGTAGTCTTGACATGAAGGTTTATTTAATAAAAAGTACTTCAAATATTTTTCCCCCCAAAAGGGAACATGTGGTACCTTCTTGTACTGAACACAATCAAAAGTGGGAGTTTCACTGGGTTGCTCTGACTTTATAGAGTTGCTAGATTGTCAGTGCAACCTGTGTCATCCATGCTGGAGCAGTCAGATGTGGAATAGCAGGAATCTGAGAGCTGTGGCATATTGAGGCACATCTGTAAGGGACAGGGACATCTGGCTTTCACAGGGAGACCTTCAAGAGGTTTCATGCAATTGATAGCCATGAAGGGCCACTGCAGAAAGGAGAGCTTTCCTTCCACTGATGGAAGTTTCCATTCCCCCTCATGCTCTTCCTTGTGTTTTATGCTCTGCTGTAAATGTCTAATCTGTTACTTTGAGGTCAGGTTGCTTTTCAGCAATTGTGGTATTTTAATTGTTGTTTGGCACTGGTGGTGCTTTTATGGGTTCTGGGAAAGGGGGTGAAGGGTGTGATATTTATAAATGACATGTCTCAGAATACTGTGTTCATTTTCAGCATTTATTGAAGCAGTGTAGCTTCCCTTGCTGACCACGTAATAGCAGATTTCACTGAGTGTATTTTGTATTTTGATATCAGTCAGTGCTGGACAGAAGGAGCAAAGTGTTGTGTAATATGTAACAGCACTGTAGACCATAAGATGTTGAGGACTATGTTGGCTGCATTCAGGACTCTGGCAGTGCATGTTTATTCACTAAAGCTTTGTTCTCTGAATGGTCATAATTAATCTGAGCAAAGCTCTTCATCACAGGAAAGGGGGTAAAAAGACAAGCCTGTATCTCTTTCTGCTTGGTAACAGGAAAATGAAAGAATTTTCCCCCCTTCTTCTGAAAATGTTTTCTTATTTTACTTTTAAGCTGGTCTAAGTTATTCTTGTTGTGAGAGACAGCCATGCATATTATTCCCTTACCGATTAAGTTTTATCTATTTTTCATTTTCTTTCACTTTTTGCCTTAGCCAGTGTCGGGGTAAATCACACTTAATTTGATTTTTCTGATTCATTCCTTCTGTTGCAAAGCTTCCAGGAATGTAGTTGGCAAACTCAATTGCTCAATTGACTGAACATTCTTGACACCTCTAAAAAGTTTAAACCTGATTTCTCGCAGTGAAGTTCTCCTTGCCAGAATTAATAGGCTTCTATTCTTGGAAACTGGAAGTACTAGGCTTCAAGCCTGTAAATGGGGTTATTTTTTTTTCTCTTAAAGCTGAAAGTAGAAAAGGCAGAGAAAATAATAATAATAAAAAAGGTAATTGAAAAGAGCTATGATAGCTTCTATTTGAGTGTTGCTCTAGTGGAATATTTTATCCATTGGTTGTGGGGGCTGGATATTTTACAGATGATGGTGAACTTAGGTGTTGAATTAGATCACATTTACTATATCACTTTTCACTAAGAGGAACAGAGCTATTGCTTTAAAACAGCTCTTCTATTCTGCTGCTGGGGTCAGATGTGAGAGGGACTGCAGGAAGGCATGAAACAAATGCCTGTCAAGTGCAGACAACAGAAAATTCCTTGTTTCCTTGCAGAAATAGATTGAAATATAGTTAAAATATCCTTGATAAATGAGGAATTTACCTTAATCCAGGAACTGCATTATGTATGTGCACCTTTTTTCATGCAAATAAAATTTTTCTTATGAAATCTTGTTCATGTCTCCATGTCCACCCAGAATCCTCTTGGCTTGCTCAAAACTTGCTTAGGAGGCATATCTTTCCAAGCTGGGCAAAAATGCTTTCCTTTTTTGTACAAAGAAGGTTTTAGAAAAGGGAAATCTTAGAAATAATGTTGATCATGTGTTTTATGAGATACTTGTGTATGTGGAATAAAAACCAGGTAGTGGATAGTGCATAATATAGAAATAAAATCTTTGCTCACCAAAAACAGTGGAACTTTGAAACAAATGCTTGATAACCTAACAGGAAAACAGCCTCTGATTTCTGCACCATGCATGGGGTTCTGGATGTGACTGATTTAGGGTGCTCTGTAACACTAAGAACTTGACCATTCTTACAGACATGGAAAGGCCAAAATCTTTCACAATAATAGTTTCCTTGTTTGAAGTCAAACCTCTCACAATTTATTTTTATAAAGAAATTAATAAGGAACAACTCATGCAAACATAGATTTTTAGAAAAACAGTTCTAGAACATGTGATGAGAAATCAGAGAATTGTCATAGAATGGTTTGTGTTGGAAGGGAAGATCATCCAGTTCCAGTCCATCTGCCATGGGCAGGGACACCTTCCACTATCCCAGGTTGCTCAGAGCCCCATCCAGCCTGGCCTTGAACACTTCCAGGGATGGGGCAGCCACAGTTTCTCTGGGCAACCTGTGCCAGGGCCTCACCACCCTCACAACAAAGAATCTAATATCTAATCTGAATATCTCCTTTCTTGGTTTAAAACCTTTCCCCCTTGTCCTATTGCTGTCTGCCATATAAAAAGTGTTTTTACAAGCCCCCTTTAGGTACTGGAAAGCCACAATGAGATCAGCCTGGAGCCTCCTCTTCTCCAGACTGACCAACACCAACTCTCTCAGCCTGTCCTCACAGGAGAGGTGCTCCAGCCCTCAGAGTGTCTTTGAGATCTTCTAGTGCAGTTTTTTTTTTTTTTCCCATGCATAACTTCTGCTTCTGCTGAGGAACTGTTTCATACCAGGGCGTCTGGTTTAATATTTTCATCCTCACTTGAGTTTATATCCATAGGGAGTCTTGAAATCGATCTTCACCTGTACTTTTGTCAACCATTGTGTATGTACTCCCCTGCAGCAGAGTCATTTATTAGGATGACAAGACACGTATGAGCACTCTGGCATCTTTAATGTTCCTGTAAGCTTTAAAAAAGGCACTTAAGTGAGTGGCAGGTCATAGAGACCGAGCCATATAGAAGGAAAATAAAATTTTGGGGTAACTGAATTTTTTCTATATGCATTTTGAGCTTTCTCTTCAAATAACAGCTATTCACTGCAATGTATGCTTCACAAAATGAACCAAATAGCTGTTTCATAATGCTTTTTATTAGGGAGGAAAAAAATTACAGAAATTTGAAAGTTTTTAGACCTTGAACATCAGCCTCCTGGGACAACTCCAGCAGATGGAATATATTATTTGCTGTCAGCTATTGTAGGTTGTATACACAACTCATTATTGTTAAATTTGTCAAAGTCACAAGACTCTCACAGTGATAAATCTCTGCTGGGCTAAAAATAAATTTCCCTGTTTATCACTGTGCTTTTCTGTTTGCATTTTGGAGTTTCTTGTATGCTGGTGCATGTGCAGTATAAAGCAAAACTTCACAGGAGTAACTTTCTACCAGGAAGGAGGAGAGAACTGTAATTTTCTCTGACCCCCTTAACTTTGTAAGCCCTCTCATATAAAGTGTGTAATACTGTTAATGTTGATTTATTCTGTCTGTAATGCTAGTTTAGATGCTGACATTCCAGCATTCATCTATCTAGTAATACACTGGTTGTTCCTAGAAACTGATTGCATTTCCCCTTGGGAAAAAGGGCTGCTTTCCCTTAATGGTGTAGATGGATTACAATCTGCAGTACATACAAAGAAGCAAACATTTTAAATGAAGTGACAAGCTGAGGGAAAGGTGAGGAAAAACATATGGCTAAAATTAACAGAATAAAGCAAACACCAAAGTTTTTGAGGGTCTGCATGACTTGTCAGTAAGTCAGAAAAGCATAAATATAGAGATATGCTCCAAATCAGCAGTAGAAGGTATCCAGATACCATGCTTCTGAAAAACATCATGCTCTTAGGAAGGTGAGTTTAGCAGATGCTGGTGGCTTTGCAGTGAGAATTTGTGTTCAGCATACAGCTGTTCAGCTTCTGCATTTGTCAGTCAGCTCAGTACTCGTACTAATGGTACTTTCCTGTAAGAGTTGTGGAAACACCTCTTTGCCTTTACCAGAACGTTTTCAGTCTTTACTGTTTCAGCCCTGGCTGTTCTGAGTGAGAACATTCAGAGAATTCTGTGGTTTATC